CTGGCCTACCATTTCCAGTCTGTTTTCTTGAAATTATCTCCTAGTTGACTCTCACTTGCTTGTTTACCTATTTACATTATGTGAGATGAGAAAGCTGGGGAGGACTGTTCCTTCCTTCAGTTGGAGAAGATTTTCAGAATAGACCTGTTAGGAAGAATGGTCTGGAGGGTTTCACAATGGCTATTTTTGCTCTCCCTCTGCCAGGCCCATGAGGAGATATTTTTCTATCCTTACCCTGAAAACTAGTGTGATTTCTGGAGGAAAAGCCTATAAAAGTATAGGCCTCCCTTTTACTATCCTGCCACCCACCCCCAGAGTCTTACTTAGCAAGAAACAATTTGTCAAAATTACTCTCTAACTGTTCCTACCAGTTTTTGGCATCTTGAGGTTTCTGCTCCTGTCTTGGTTATTGTTTTTCTCTGGATGCACTTGTCTCTCCAGAATTCAGAGAAGTTGTTTGCCCTACAACCTCTGACAGATCAAGAAAAGTCATAGATACTCAGTTTGTCCAGATTTTTCTTGTTGTAAGGAGGGGAATGGCAACATCTAAGGTCTTACATATTATTTAAAACAAAACACCTTTCCCCTCTGAAATATGGATGTGTGTCTGAATCAGCACGAATCCAAGACCAATAACATTAGGGCCTCAGGACAACTGGGCAGTTGAGTAAAGACATGAAAGCAGGATAACAGAATGCACTGTTCTTTTTTTTTAATGCGTCTTTTCATTGTTGAGGTAAGTTTCATTCTATAGTTTTAAAGAGGGCTTTAATAGAGAACATTTAGGAGAGTAAAAGAGTAAGAGAAGCATTGTTTATAACAGCAAAGTGGGAAATAACTTGAATATCCATCTACAGGAGAGTGCTTAAATTAATTGCTACCTACAGGAGACTGCTGTACAGTTATTCAAGAGAATGGAGAAACTGCCTGCTACTGGTGTCTGCTAAGAAGATGTCTGCAATCTGCTGTATAGTAAAAAAGATTAAAGTTCATGCATGTTTATGCCATGGGCATAGAAAGGGTCTGAGGACACACCCAGTGTTTGAGGAGGACAGAAGAGGTTCAGCACTTGGTGGTGTTTGGATTTTTTATTAAGAGACAATTCATTTTATAATAAAAATAACAGGGTAAAGGAGGAAGAAAGGAGACTCACTTTTCATTGTTTTCCTTTCTGTGCCTTTTGAGTTTTTTTTATCCCCTTTCCATTACAAATGTAAAATAAAAAACCAGGTAAGGTAAGCAACACCCCTGATGTAGTGCACAGGCTCTTCTCCAACCTATGCCAGTGTACCCTATTGGGGCACCTCCCTCTGCCTTCTTCCCTGCCCTCCTGGCCCACCTCCCTCACCACCACCATCAACACCCCCCCACCTGAGAAAACCTGCTGTAAAGCCCAGGCCTCCCCCAGTGTTAGAGTAGGCTGGAGGCTGCCTGGCTCCTTTCCAGCATCTCCAAGTTCCTAGCACAATGGTGAAAGGTTGGAAGGCACAGAACACAGGTTGAACCCCAGCTCCCAACTTACCACTGTGATCCTGGGTTAGTCACTTGGGCTCTGTGGAACAGCTGTGAGCTGGGGAAAACTGGACCTACTTTGTAGAATGTACTTTACCAGGTACAAAACCTCAAACCTCCTATAATCTCTACAGCCATGAGTGAATGAGAGGGTTAGAAATGACCAGAGTTATGAAAATGCCTTGTCTAGGCCTCTTCCACTTCCAGAATTAGACTAGGTGCCTATCCTAGGAACTGGTTCCAAAGCTCCCCTGTTTCCCCTCAGTGGGTCACCTTAAAGATATCCTTAAGGCCTACAGATGCCAGTCAGACTAGTGCTGCCTGGGCCTCTCTTGCCGGGGAGGGCAATCTGAGGGATGGGGTGTGAAGAGAGAGATGGATTGAGGAGACTTGGATTTAGTGCACACAAGAGAAAGGTCACATTTTCCCCCATTCTTCCAGCAAGGTGCCTAGCAGGCTACTGCTAGGACCTCCCCCCAGATTTCTGAGAACGAGAATCTCCATGGTGCCATACTAGTCTAAGATGCTCCCCAGATTGAGATACACTGGGCCAGTGTAGGCACCACCCTAGATCCTTATTTCTGCTGCCATACTATGGGTCACTGCATAGCAAGGCATAGGCCCCTCCTGACCATGCCTGAACCACCTTGGTTCCTGTCCTCCCAGTGGTTTTGGCTGGCTGGGTTCCACTCCACCTCCCCCGTCCCCCAGTCATCACCAGTCAGTGTGACTTTAAGGAAATGCTCCATTAGTATTTCTGCCAAGGTAAAACCTTAACTGGGCTACTCTCCAGACACATGCCTCGCGATCAATAAGAAGTCAGAAAATCATGTGCAGCCTTTTGATATTTCATTCTTTCTACAACTATTTACTGGATACCTGCTTTGCTCAGGTGCAGTACAAAGTGACAGGGCTATGATTGAGTGAGAGACATTCCTTGTCCCTGGAGTTTTAAGCCTAATTACAGGGAGACACAAGGCTGGCACTCAGAGGGTGCTCAGACATCTGTGCCCTTGAAGAAAGGAGAAGTGAAGGCTTTGAAAGAGACATTCAATATCACATGATCTCACTCATATGTGGGATATAATGATCAACATAATCTGATGAACAAAAATAGATCCAGAGACAAATGGCAGGGGAGGTGGGGGGCGGGGCTAGAGAGCAACCAAAGGACTCCTATGCATGTATATTAGCATAATCAATGGACACAGACACTGGGGTGGTGGGGGCTTGCCCGGGGTGGGAATGGCTGGGGCAGGGGGGTCAAGCGGGGAAAAAGGAGACAAACTTTAGACGAGAGAGAGAGAGAGAGAGAGAGAGAGAGAGAGAGAGAGAGAGAAGAAAGAGACATTCACTGCAAGAACTCAGTGGGAGTAGTTCTGGAGTTTGGTGAAGAGCTGGACTTTGGAGCCAGTGGTTGGGACTCAAATCCCATCAACCCCACTCACTAGCCATGTGCATCCAGGGGCAAGTCACATCAGCACTCTGTCCTTGATTTCCATGTCTGAGCATTGAGGATGACAACTGAACTTAGGCTGATGCAGGGACGAGGTGAAGGATTCATTATTAATGCAGCCAGGCCCAATAACACTGTTGGGGTCATCTGTGGCAGGCCCGAGAGAAGGGATCATTGTGGCTTCCCAGGAAGGCTGACCTTCCTGACTTTCCTCAGTGTTCAGGTTTGGATGGACCTACTCAGGAACCTTGATATAAGTTTTAGAGCCTACAATGTGCCACCTGTGTCCTGTGCATAGTCAGCCCCAGCAAGCAGTTTTTACTGAGGGCTGCAGAGCATTTTCTCACCTGAAACAAAGCCTCAGACAATCAGGAGAGACACAGCTTGTGGTCAGCTGTCAGACTGCATACCTCAGTGTGGAATTCCACCCCATAGCTGACCTACCTCCTTTCTGTGCTGACCTTTCCTGTAGAAATAATGGTATAAGCAGCCTGTGGAATCCCATCCTTCATGCCTCACTGCAGTGTGTCAGCAAGGTGGGGTCTAATCACAGAGAACCTTGATGGGCAATCTGTCACTACACCTCATGTCCCAACACTGGACAGAATGGATGCCTCTTCTTCCTGAGGACATGGGTCATCTTTTCTTTCCCTACTCTAAATGCCTGGTGCTATGGATGTGTTGTGGCTTTGGGAGAAGGGGGATGACAGAGGTCCAGCCCCCATTTAAAGGTAAGTTTTCTTGAAGGAGGAGGCAAGGATGCTGATGATTTAGAGCAGGGGTCCTCAAACTTTTTAAACAGGGGGCCAGTTCACTGTCCCTCAGACCGTTGGAGGGCCGGACTATAGTTTCAAAAAAAATATGAACAAATTCCTATGCACACTGCACATATCTTATTTTGAAGTAAAAAAACAAAATGGGAACAAACACAATATTTGTATTTGCATGTGGCCCGCGGGCCATAGTTTGAGGACCCCTGATTTAGAGGGCCCAAGTGAAAGAGATGTGGAGAATCAATCAGTTCTTTCTAACATTATGCTGTCCATGGCTCCCATTAAAGAGTGCAAGTTGGGGGAAATTATTGTTTTTATGGGACGATTTTTGGCCAGAGGCAGGTGGCTATATTGCACAGTAATGTATGGTGTCTGTTTGTTCAAGGCTCTTGCTGAGATGAAGCTGGTCCTTCTTATTCACACAGAAAAGTCCTTTCAGGCTCCCAGTACTTCATGGCTGCTTGTTCTGGGGGCAGAGAGCAGGCTGGGGTGGGACCAGAGGGTACTCCAAAGCTCATCTGTGGCCCTGTATCTTGCCTGTCACCAACTCTCAATGTCCCACATCTGAGTCTTGGACCCCACACTCACTCATTTATTATTCTCAACCCTTATGCAAACTTATTGGCTCCTCCACTTCCCATTCACAATATGGATGTTTCCTTCCCATCAGTTTCAAGCCTGAGCTCCTCTCTGGCATGCTGTATAAGGAACAGCCAACACTGGGAATAGATTCTTTATTTCCTTGTAGGAAATCAATTAGGCACATTTTTGAAAGTGCTGGCAGCTTCCCAGTTTTCCTTGGTCTTAGGCTGTCAGTACCTGGTCTGGATGAGCTTGTTGGTTCTGCCTTCACAATAAAATGCCCTGCCCTACTTGCCTGAGTCCTGCCAACCCATCTTCCCCAAACACAGTTCTCATATCAAGGACAAAGGATGGAGATTTTGGTCTTAGGTTCTCTTGAATGTGGCCACAAAGATGCAGCTTCTGGTGACTGCAAGGCCATCCTGCAGTGGGAGTTTCACGTTGGCTGACCTGGGGGCCTCTACTTCTGGTTGGTTGCAGAGGAGGCCCCTGTGAGTGAGGAAGCTGCAGCAGCTTTCTGGGTACTTGCAGAGGAAACCCTCTCATATTGGCTATGATGAAGTGAGGCTCATGAGTCCTGACAGGTGGCCCCAGGGGCTCAGCCCGGTAGCAGGGCCAAGAGTACTAAAGTTCAACTGATCCCTACATGCCACCTGCTTCCTGGCCTTCAAGCTGAGCTACAAGTACTCCTCCACTGAGGCATGGGCCTGAGCATCCAGCCTGGTGAGCTCCATCCTGAGCTGGCTTATGTCCAGGAAAAGGCCTGGGCACTTTTGATCCTGTGGGCTGTGGAGTGGGCTGGTCAAGGAGGGCAGGCTACAGATGGCAGCCACTCCAGGAAAGCTGTTAGACGGTTTCTGCTGTGAAATGGTAATGTCCCTGGCCTGAGGCTGCCTACAGAGCCTACTGCTTGTGTCCTGCCTTGGGGGCTGCACAGAATAAGGCTTGCAGTCTGGGTGGATCTGTAGCGCTGCAACCTT